TACTACTACTACCACTACTACTACTACTACTACAACTACAACTACTACTACTACTTTTATTATACTATTACTACTACTTTTTTAATACTACTGCTACTACTACTTTTACTGCTATTACTACTACTACTACTACTACTACTACTACTACTACTACTACTACTACTACTACTACTACTTTTACTACTGCTACTACTACTACTACTTTTACTACTACTGCTACAACTACTACTACTACTACTACTGCTACAACTACTACTACTACTACTACCACTACTTGTACTACTTCTACATTTATTACTACTAGGGGTGTTGATGGGGGTTGGTGGTGATGGTAGTGGCAGAAGAAGTAGTAGTAGTAGTAGTAATAGTAGTAGTATAGTAGTAAAAGTAGTTTTAGTAGTAGTAGTAGTAACATTAGTAGTAGTAGTAGCAGCAGCAGCCGTAATAGTAGCAGTAGTAGTAGTAGTAGTAGTAGTAGTAGTAGTAGTAGTAGTAGTAGTAGTAGTAGCAGTAGTATTAGTAGTAGTAGTAGTAGTAGTAGTAGTAGCAGCAGCAGAAGTAGTAGTAGTAGAAGTAGTAGTAGTAGAAATAGTAGTAGTTCTTGTAGTAGTAATTCTAGTAATAGTAGTAGCAGGTCTAATTTGTGTGAAGTTCTAGCAGTATCAATAGTGTATGCATATATAGTGTCTTGGGTTTCGAAGTAGTTGGGTACTTGCTAAATGCCAGTCTTTCTGCAGTCACCATTGTATTACAATATTTGAGTACTCATTTCTTTCTCACTTTGTTAGTGACAATTATTACATTCTCCTTATTGTCTCTTTTACCATTCACTTCAGAAAGAGCAACGTCTTTTTATCCCTTTTTTTTTTTAAAACTGGATTTGAAAATCTGCTATGAGACTAATTAATTTAAAAGTGACTACTAGCCCGTTTCGTCTTTCAAGTTTATATTTTTAATTAACTCTACGAAAGAAAAATTATAGTGTCCCGGAAAAAGCGGAGAAACAAATCTGTCAAACTTCCCCCAGCTTGATCAAAAACTTCAAACTGTTTTTTACTGGCCCAGTGACATATCAGAGCGAGGCGAGTGACAGCATGATTGACAGCAGAATAAGAAAATGGAGAAGCCGGTATACGCCGTCTCTGAGAGCTCAACTTGTAATTTGGCAAGAACTCTTTGTTTCTGTTTCTGATTGGAGGAGATTTGTAGAACAACAAATCGTGGTCAAGGGAACACAAAGGTTTGTATCTAAGGCTATCCTTCTTATATTCACATCACTGGTTGTGTGGGTTCGGTCATTGTTGTTCGTTGGATGTGCTTATGCCAGGAAACACAAGGGTCTCGACGCAGTATGCGACTAATTTGCATCAGGGCGCTGCACCGTGCACCAAAACGCACAAAAGATCTTTATTTTATGTAACCAGTTCGCACCAGGAGTCCGCCCCATACATTTTTTTCTAACACGATGGTCCATTTCTGACATCATTGCAAAAAATAAATTTAGTTTTTAAAGTTGGAAAATTTAATTTTAATATGTCATGTGTATTTGTAAGCAACATCTAGTAGTAGTAGTAGTAGTAGTAGTAGTAGTAGTAGTAGTAGTAGTAGTAGTAGTAGTAGTAGTAGTAGTAGTAGTAGTAGTAGTAGTAGTAGTAGTAGTAGTAGTAGTAGTAATAGTAGCAGCAGCAGCAGTAGTGGTAGTGGTGGTAGTGGTAGTTGCAGCATCAACATCAGTGGTGGTAGTTTTCTTAGTAGCAGCAACAGTAGTTAGTAGTAGTGGTGGTCATGGTGGTTGCAGTAGTAGTAGTAGCAGCAATAGCCGCAGCAGTGGTGATGGTGGTAGTAGTAGTAGTTATTGTATACAGTTATGAACCTTTTTTTCGGCCAATGGCCATGTACAGACTGTTTGAGCAATCGCCGATGGAATGGTGTTGATTTCCTAGGATATTTCCTAAAATCACTTTTAATCTGTTTGTGCATGTAATCCACTGATAGTGGTACAAATCCGTTTCGGTCCGGCTTTCTTATTTCTTTTAGCTGTAAACTCCAGTCTAAAGTTCTGATGGTTCGTCCACTCCTAGACTTTGGTCATTGTCGAGAACTTGAGTTTTGCGTGAATATCCACATACAGTTGACAGTGTGGGAGTACAAGCTCAGCATTTATCACAACGTTTTGACTTCAACAGAAGAACTTGGTTAAAGCATTAACAATTTGGAAGAGTCATGAAAACACGCCCGATCATGGTTGGCAAACAACAGGAAGCATTGTTTTTCTTACTATTTTCTATCTTTCCTTTTCCATATTTTTTACAATCATTTTTCGATCTTTATTTAAACTATGTAAGTATACGACCGGTGTGGTACTAGTGGTGCATTGGGCATGTTATATGTACCAAACTCATATTCATACTGAACATTCGGCATTCCATAGGTGATCTGATCACCAACACGCTGGCCGCCTTTTCTTCCCATGACTTTACCATATTTTAGTCTAGAGTCG